GTAAATGCTGAAAATGCGGGAACAAAAATGAATATGACAATTAAATTTTAGTTTCCAATTAAGGTTTCACTGCAAGCTTGACCCAAAATATGCCAGAATGTGGTCATTGAGGCTGGGCTGGTACAAAAGTATTGTGATCGATCAGTGAAATATCCGCGATCCATTTCTATCCACTGAGTGAAAAGTGGAAGGAATTTTTGTTTCAGCGAGGGAGACTAACGTACTGGCCCAGGTTGTTCGAAAGGTGGATAATGCTATCCAGCTGATAAATCACTTTCCAGCGGATAGCGTGATTTGTTTTTTGAACACTTATCCACTGGGTAACGATTTATCCGCTGGATAGCGTTATCCACCCTTTGAACAACTGGTGCCTGTTTTCGATTCTTTCTGAGCTAGCAAAGCGGTTTCTAGATACTTTCTGAGCAAAGTACGAAGGTTTCCTTTCTCTCTCCGAGCAATCACCAGTCTACACATTGCGCGATGCGAGGAGAAACTATCGATATCATTTTTGCGAAGAACGAGTCAGAATAACTAGGAAACGATTAATTGTCGCGGTCTTGCCTTTCCATGTCATGCTAGCATTTCACGCTGTGTTAGGGAACCGTCCATGAGTGACGCCCCGTCCACACTACGTCGGAGAAATTTGAAAAGGCAGCTTTATTTCCACAGTCAGGTCTGCCCTCCACACTTATTCCTCACGAAAACGGAGCTTTTCACAAACGCTCTTCAAGCCGGGGAAATTTGAAAACAACGGGTTGGCGTTTTATTGTAGTCAGTAGACAAAAAAAGTTTGAAAACAGAGCTTTTCCAAAACGATGGCGTCACGATTATCATGTGAATTTCCTGCCCGAGTTTTCCTCAAACACTAAACCAAAATGATCGGTGATTGGTGCGTTTTCAAATTTCTCCAGCGTTCACGAGTAAGTCTATAGGTTCATAGGGAAACCGTAAGGACCACAGAAAGGGTTCACACTAGCGAGGTGTCTGCAAAAAGCGGGGTTTACTGCCGGAGTTGGTTCCTCGTTTAGAAGACCTCTGTCGCATCGAACTTAGGTAAATCTCTTTCGTTAATCTTGTGTTGTTTTATAGTTAAACAGCTTTGTGTCAGTTAAGTTTTTGAACAATATGAGAGTACAAGCACAAGTCCGGCTTATCAGAACTGACCGTTCTCCATGATGTGACAGAACTCTTTGTATCGGACACGCCCATCAGGCTGACGATAAACATCAACCACCTTCTGTATCTCTTCACGGGACAGATTAGCCTGCGTTCCACAACAAAGGCTAAGGCCACAGATAAACTGCAATGATAGAACAACGGCAAAAAAGAGATGAGCTTANCACTGAGTGAAAAGTGGAAGGAATTTTTGTTTCAGCGAGGGAGACTAACGTACTGGCCCAGGTTGTTCGAAAGGTGGATAATGCTATCCAGCTGATAAATCACTTTCCAGCGGATAGCGTAGTTTGTTTTGTGAACACTTATCCACTGGATAGCGTTATCCACCTTTTGAACAACTGAGGCCTGTTAGGCATACATACGAGGTCCATCGATTTGATTCACAACAAAATGTTTTCGATTCTTTCTGAACTAGCAAAGCGGTTTCTAGATACTTTCTGAGCAAAGCACGAGGGTTTTCTTTCTCTCTCCGAGCAATCACCAGTCTACACATTGCGCGATGCGAGGGGAAACTATCGATATCATTTTTGTCAAGAACGAGTCAGAATAGCTAGGAAACGATTATCGCGGTCTTGCCTTTCCATGTCATGCTAGCAATTCAAGCTGTGTTAGGGAACCGTCCATGAGTGACTCCCCGTCCACACTACGTCGGAGAAATTTGAAAAGGTAGCTTTATTTCTACGGTCAGGTCTACCCTCCACACTAATTCGTCACGAAAACGGAGCTTTTCACAAACGCTCTTCAAACCGGAGGAATTTGAAAACAACGGGTTGGCGTTTTATCGTAGACAAAAAAAAGTTTGAAAACGGAGCTTTTCGAAAACGATAGCGTCACGATAACATCTGAATTCCCCGACCGAGTTTTCCTCAAACACAAATCCAAAATGATCGGTGATTGGTGTGTTTTCAAATTTCTCCAGCGTTCACGAGTAAGTCTATAGGTTCATAGGGAAACCGTAAGGACCACAGAAAGGGTTCACACTAGCGAGGTGTCTGCAAAAAGCGGGGTTTACTGCCGGAGTTGGTTCCTCGTTTAGAAGACCTCTGTCGCATCGAACTTAGGTAAATCTCTTTCGTTAATCTTGTGTTGTTTTATAGTTAAACAGCTTTGTGTCAGTTAAGTTTTTGAACAATATGAGAGTACAAGCACAAGTCCGGCTTATCAGAACTGACCGTTCTCCATGATGTGACAGAACTCTTTGTATCGGACACGCCCATCAGGCTGACGATAAACATCAACCACCTTCTGTATCTCTTCACGGGACAGATTAGCCTGCGTTCCACAACAAAGGCTAAGGCCACAGATAAACTGCAATGATAGAACAACGGCAAAAAAGAGATGAGCTTA